ATGGAATGGAATGGAATGGAATAGAATAGAATAGAATAGAATAGAATAGAATAGAATAGAATAGAATAGAATAGAATAGAATAGAATACAAATCAGAATGGAAATCAGAATGGAATGGAATGGAATGGAATGGAATAGAATAGAATAGAATAGAATAGAATAGAATAGAATAGAATAGAATAGAAATAGAATGGAATGGAATGGAATGGAAGGGAAGGAAGGGAATGGAATGGAAGGGAAGGGAAGGGAAGGGAAGGGAAGGGAAAGAAGAGAAGAAAGAGAAGAGAAAGAATAGAAAAGAAGAAAAGAGAAGAGAAGAAAGAGAAAGAGAATAGAATAGAAGAGAAGAGAAAGAAAATAGAATGAATGGAGAATAGAATAGAATAGAATAGAATAGAATAGAATAGAATAGAATAGAATAGAATAGAATAGAATAGAATAGAATAGTTTACTGGCCAAGTGTGATTAGACACAAAAGGTATTTGTCTTCAGTGCATAAGCTCTCAGTGTACATATAACAATAGTGATAAGCAACAAAGTTATAGTTTGTTATAGGCATAGGTAATAAAAGAGGTATAGATAAAGGTAAAGGTTCCCCTCGCACATACGTACAAACGGAGATGAGCACCTTTGAAACGGTGCTCATCTCCGTTTCAAAGCCGAAGAGCCAGCGCTGTCCGAAGACGTCTCCGTGGTCATGTGGCCGGCATGACTCAACGCCAAAGGCGCACGGAACGCCGTTACCTTCCCACCAAAGGTGGTCCCTATTTTTCTACTTGTATTTTTTTTTTACATGCTTTCGAACTGCTAAGATTGGCAGAAGCTGGGACAAGTCACAGGAGCTCACCCCGTTACGCGGCACTAGGGATTCGAACTGCTGAACTGCCGAACTTTCAAGCGACAAGCTCAGCATCTTAGCCACTGAGCCACCATGTCCATATTATTAAAAGAAGTATAGGAGATAGATAATAGGGAAGAGGAGAATAATGATGGTAATACTGCCTTTTTAGATAATGTTGTAGGAATTGGTTGTTTAGCAGAGTGTGAGGAGGGGAAAACTATCCTTGTGTCTAGTTGTTCTGACATGCAGTGCCTATAGCATCATTTGGAAGGGAGAAGTTGAAACAGTTTATCTTCATCCCTCATCCCCCAAAACAGCAGAGAATGTCTCAGTGAGACGCAAGCAGATGTTTGGTGAGGTCTCCTGTAAATGCTCAGCAGATCCAAGTTCTTAAAACAATGCACTCAAAATCAAGAATGAATGTGGAATGAAAGCCAACCAGGAGCTCTCCACAGGCCAGGAAGAGCGAGCCGTCCAGAGGAACTTCAACATTGAAAAAGAAGACTCCAGTTTCTGATGAGGACTTCAGATAATGGAGGAAAACTTCCAATTCTTTCCTTCCAAATTATTAATGTTGCTATTATTGCGGTCGTTCAGTCACTAAATCATGCCTCACACTTCACAACCATATCATGCAAGGCCCTCCTGTCCACCACCATCTCCCAGATTTTGCCAAAGTTCACGTTCATTGCGTCGATGATGACCCTATCTAACCATCTCGTCCTCTGCCTTCTCCTTCTCCATTTTTGCCTTCTGCCTTTCCCACCACCAGGGTCTTCTCCAGTGAGTCCTCTCTTCTCATTTGGTGGCCAAAGTATTTGAGCTTCAGCTTCAGGATCTGTCCTTCCAAAGAACAGTTAAGGTTGACTTCCTTCAGGATTGACTGATCGGGTCTCTTCTCAGTCCAAGAGACACTCGAGAGACTTTTCCAACACCACAATTGGAAAGCATCAATTCTTCAGCGCTCAGTCTCCCTTGTGGTCTTAATTCCTCAAAATAATAGGTCATTAATTGAAGCCCATGTAAAGACTGTGGTATCTGGAGTTTGGCCATAAGCGAGTTGCCTGGCCTCCATTCAGATTCTCAAAAGGTCTTCACTGAATTGTGAAGGTCTTCAAAATTCTTGGTCTGCTGTCGACTACAGCAGAGCTGAGGATCCGGGATGCCGAATGCTGCGTTTGTTTCGAATCCAGCTTTTTCTCCTGCTCCAAAGGAGACACACACACACACCCTGCTGGGCCTGATTTCCACCTTAGGAAAACCAACTTTCCAAAAGAACTTTTGGGCTGAGGGCAAGATGAGAAATGTTGCCCACCGGCGCCAGGCTTCGGGCCCTGGAGTGTTTCATCCCAAGATCTCCTGGAAGGGAAGCCAAGCACGGGAGCTGTACGCAGTGGGGGAATTTTTGGCAGAGACGTTGCCGGGAAAAAACCGCAGTTGCTGCTGGAAATACAGATTTGGCACTGCGGGGGAAAAAAAATATGAAAAAGGGAAGGGGAAAAGAGAGAGCAAGCAGGAGCCAAAGAGGAGCTTCCTTCTGGCTCCGTTACCTCTTTGTGGTGCAAAAATACTGGAGATTTAAGCGTCATTGACAGAGATGATTTTTGGCTCCGGAAGATTTGGAGAAGAATATTTTTTTCCATGAATCCCTTCTGGACGAGATCTGGGTTCCTCTCCGTCACTCGTTCCTCCAAAATAGCTATTCCTGCCACAGGGAGTAGGAGAGGAAAACCCCCAACTAACTCAATGCTTGGTTAGTAAGAAGAAAGAATTGGGCATCTCCCTTTCCTAAAATAATAACCAAGAAATAAGACAACTGGTAGGGCAAAAGACCCATCCATCCATCAATAACTTGTCCAGCTTCTGGTTGGCTATTGCTGAATCTCATCCAACCAATCCCTTTTCAACTAGCTTGGGAGGAAGGGTGTTTTAAGCCCAACCAATGGGCGTTGGCCTCTAGTCCTAAAAACATAACTACTGGCCCAACTAACGCTTGTTTTGCTCTGGCCCAACCAACGTTTCTTCTTTAACATGTTTTAGATTCGTGTTTAATGAAATATGGAGCCTTCTACCAGGAGGGTGAAGTTCAAACAAGTGACTTTCAACATCTAGAAGGCCGAAGCAAAACATGAAAAGATCTGCAACAACAGAAGCCATTCCTGCAGCTGGAAAAAAAATAAATCATGATTTTATCCCTTTAATCCCAGATCGCCGTGCTTTTCGCCGTGCCCTCAAAACTTTTCTATTTCATCAAGCTGGGCTGGCGTTAACCCCCCCCCTTTAGATATTTTTAATTGTAAATGGATTTTAGTCGGGAGGTTTTAAATTTTGGGCCAAAATTTGTTTAATTCTTTTAAAATTTTAAATTTTGTATTGGGATGTTTTTTTTATTCTAGGCTGTGCACCGCCCCGAGTCCAGCAAGAGAAGGGCGGTATAAAAATTTAATAAAATAAATAAATAAATAATGGATTTTACTGTGGGTCATTTGAAGTTGCAGTTGTCACCAACTACTCGGGCTTGGAAAAATGAAGGAGAGGTAGAACGAAGAGTTCAGAGTTACAGAGAAGGGTCAAAGCTGTGCAGTATGTCTAAATTTCATTGGTGGTTGCTTAATCAACGTTCCCAGAAATTGGTTGTGTGGGCTCTTAAGCATCAAAAGGTTCCTAAATTCGTTCTACAATTCTAGTAGAGAAGGCATCGTGAAGAGGAGGCTGATGCTTACTATCTGCTTGTAGGGTAGAACAGGTACTCTTCGTGCCTGGTTTTCAGGCTAGCCTAAATGTAAGCAGTTTCAGAACAGGATATTTAAGGCAGGGTCCCCAAACCCCGAGCTGTGGCCTATTCGGAACCAGACCGCATGAGAGGTGGCCTGGTGTGTGTCAAGCAAGTGGCATCCCAAAAGCTTCTCTTCTCACTGGCATGAGTGGAACTGTGTGTGTGCATGCTGGCCTGTTGTGACCCACCAGTGGCCAGTGGAGCTGGCGGCAGACTCGGACGATGAGGAGGTTGGGGAAAAACTTGGGCCAGTTCTGGAGCCTGGGGAAGGCTCTGATGGATGCTCAGCCTCAGACACAGAGATAGAGCCAGGGCCATCAGGAATTTCCCAGCCAGAGAGGCAGCTGCCTTTGGAGTCAGAGATGAGTGTGGAGGAGGAGGAACAGCTGGGGCCTGTTCCAGATGTGTGTATCCGCAGAGCAGATAGGTGAACAATGGAGGACAATGAGTCAACTCGGGAAGCAGCACAAACGTGGACGCTGACTGGCCCTTCCTTGGCTGGGGAATAAATAGGAGGAAAAGGGAAGGGTTTGGTTGTTGCAGAAGACAACCGTTCGCATTTCTGGAAAGTTTGCTCCTTGCGTGTTTCCTGCGACAAAGGCTACCTTGCCAGAACTGAGGTTTGTCTATTTCTCTGTTTGAACTGATTTAATTTGCAGCCTTCCTTGCAGGCTGGGAAGGCTGGGAACTCAGGGCCTTGCATTTATCATAACGAGCTGATAAGGACTATGGTTTCAGTTAACTCCTTGCCTGGACTTTCTGTTGGTGAATGCAGTGAATTCCCAAGGTGTAAATAAATGGAGGGGGGGTTTCTTTGCGGGGAGTCTGTTTCTTGCTTCTGCAAAGGCTGGGTCAGAACATATCCTGCCACTCACGTGGCCCATTTCCCATCTTCCCCCCACAGTCTGGCCGCCAAGCCACCAGCTCCCCATGTTCCAAAAGTGGAGTCAAGCTGTTTCGCTTCTGCAAAGGCTGGGTCAGAACATATCCTGCCACTCAGTGGCCCATTTCCATCTTCCCCCCAGTCTGGCCGCCAAGCCACCAGCTCCCCATGTTCCAAAAGTGGAGTGGTGAGAGCAGAGGCTGATGGGACGAGCGCACCATGCTCAGCTTCGCTGACTCACAGAAGCTGCCTGTGCAGGACATCCAATCTGCTTTTGGGGTGTTGGGCAGTCTCAGTGAGTCTGAAGGAGCAGGAGCAGCCGTAAAGTTTAGGGCCTCTTTTCCTCATTTTTCTAAAAAAAAGAAAAATCACCCAAACCTTGCTCCATATCTCGCCATTATGACGGCGGACTTTGGATGATGGTTAAACAGTTCTGTTTCAAACCCTAAAGGATTCCTTTTGCTCTAAATTCTCTAGAAAATATAGTAAATTTCACTTACCCGCCGGCCTTTCGGTCCTCTTATCCCCGGGGAGCCGCGAAATCCTGGGGGCCCCTTGAAAATGATGAAATAACACACTCAGATAATTTAGGACTCACCATCAGGCCTTGTGAGATGGAGTTTTGCAGGTGAGGTTCATTCCGAGGTAACCTCTGCTTAGCAGAGTCAAAAGAAACTGAACAAACCTTTAGGGAAATATGTTGGGCATTTTCCTTAATCAACATTTTTCCCAAAAAAAAAAAAATTGGTAAGTGTTTACTTTTGTGGGAAGAAAAACCCAGTCCGGTTCCAAGCTGGGAGAAAAGCACTGGAAATAAAATGAAGGCTGACTGACTGCAAGGAAAGAAAGTTTATTTGGTTTCCAGAAACTTCAATGACAGCAGCAAATATTTCTTTGACGGCTGACAAAATGGCTGAGTGTGTGGATGGATCTTTATGGGTTTCTGGGGTTTTGCGTTTGAGATGCTCCAGGAGGGTTGTGCAAAGAAGTGAGCCTTGTGACTTTTACTATTTCAATGGTGGTGGGATAATTCTATTATGTCCTAAAGGTCATGTCCTGTCCTTAGAATTTGGGTGAGGGAATGTAAATTCTTAATCCCCTCAACTGTGGGAGCTGTGGCGGAAGGCATTTAGTTTATGAATAGATTGGCTCAGTTTTCTTATTAATAGGTGCAAAATATCCATCTCTAAAGACTTGAGGCTTCTGCTTGAGGCTGTTAAGAAAGACTGGAGCATTTCTCATTTGGGGAAATATAATATTCTACAGCTTTTAATATTACTCCCCAAAATATTTCATTCTCTTGGGGGGGGGAGGAAGGGCTTCCCAAACTTTTATATGGCTTGATGGCAATAATTCATAAGCCGAGTTTGCTCCAAATTATACCGGGCAGAATTTTCTTTCTTCATTCGAACAAAATTCACAAGTATCAAAAACAGAATAACAGAGTTGTAAGTTGAACTAGAAGACCTCCAAGGTCTTCTAGTCCAACCCCCTGCTTAAGCAGGAAACCCAACACCACTTCAGACAAATGGTTATCCAACATCTTCTTAAAAACTTCCAGTGTTGGAGTATTCACAACTTCTGGAGGCAAGTTGTTCCACTGATTAATTGTTCTAACTGTCAGGAAATTTCTCCTTAGTTCTAAGTTGCTTCTCTCCTTGATTAGTTTCCACACGTTGCTTCTTGTCCTGCCTTCAGGGGCTTTGGAGAATAGCTTGACTCCCTCTTCTTTGGGGCAGCCCCTGAGATATTGGAAGACTGCTATCATATCTCCCTTAGTCCTTCTTTTCATTAAACTAGACATACCCAGTTCCTGCAGTCGTTCTTCATATGTTTCAGCCTCCAGTCCCCTAATCCTATTTGTTACTCTTCTCTGCACTCTTTCTAGACTCTCCACATCTTTTTTACATCATGGCGACCAAAACTGGATGCAGGATTCCAAGTATGGCCTTACCAAGGCCTTATAAAGTGGTATTAATCCTTCACCTGATCTTGATTCTATCCCTCTGTTGATGCAGCCTAGAACTGTGTTGGCTTTTTTGGCAGCTGCTGCACACGGCTGGCTCCTATTTAAGCAATTGTGTACTAGGACTCCAAAATCCCTCCTACAGTTACCACTATTGAGCAAGGTACCACCTATACTGTACCTGCGCATTTTGTTTTTCTTGCCTAAATGTAGAACCTTCCTTTTTTCACCATTGTGAACATGTGAGAAGAAGGCTGTTGCAAGGAAAAAAGATGTCACTTACTGGTGGGCCAGAGGGACCAGGCTCCCCAACTTCTCCCGATATTCCAGGGTGACCCTGCAACATCGAAGCGAAATGAATGAAAAGGATCTGCTTTCTTACTGCAAATTCAACCAAAATAACCTTTTCACCCCGATAACGAGAAACAGATCATCAACCCCACACATTGAGAACTCTGTAGGTAGAAGCATTAAACTCGGTTTGCAAAGGAGCCTGAACTTGCGATGCACTGGCTCATTTGGCATAAAACACAGAGAAATGTAAGGTTCGCTTGTGAGCTACAGTGTTTTTAAAAAGAGCCTTGAGACTATCAGGTTCCCAATCTATTGCACAATTAATTCATCCCAGTTTCGTTTCTGTAGAGTTGATGGCAAAATGGAACGGGGGGAAAAATTGCAAACATTTGGCCTAAATCTCTTCAAAATGTTAATCTTAGGTTTGGGTGATGTAACCTTCAAGATGGATTGTGCCCTGGGGAATTTCCTTGTTTTCCTCTGGAGGAAACCCCCCCCACACACATTTCTGACCCTCTCACAGAAAGCCTGGCAATAGGTTGGTCATTCATGGTTAATGACCTTAAAATGGCCCGTAGAGAAACTTCAAAGGTGGCCTAATCAAAGAGAAACACTGTGTTCTCGGGGTTTGGGGAAGCTGCTATGACTGAGAAGGCAGCTGTGACTGAGTAGGGCCTTAATCTTGCTCGGGAGAATTGGATGTGAAGTTATGGTAATTTGACCTTAGGTCAAGCTCCTTGACTGACCACAAAGAAAAAGGTGGAGGAGGAGGAGGCAGACTGTGGGGTCCTTGGTGCTCTCTGAGCTTGGTTGTTTCCTTGCAGATGTTTCATTAGCCAGGTAACATCATCAGTGCTAGAAGGGAGTGGGGTTTGCTGGGAGGAGGAGGAGGAGGAAGAGGAGGAGGAAGAGGAGGAGGAGGAAGAAGAAGAGGAGGAGGAGGAGGAAGAGGAGAGGAGAAGAAGAAGAGGAGGAAGAGGGGGAGGAGGAGAAGAAGAGGAGGAGGAAGAGGAGGAGGAATAAGAAGAGGAGGAAGAGATGGAGGAAGAGGAAGAGGAGGAGGAAGAGGAAGAGGAGGAAGAGGAGGAAAAAGAGAAGAGGAGGAGGAGGAGGAAGAAGAAGAGGAGACGGAGGCAGAGGAGGAGGAAGAGGAGGAAGAGGAAGAAGAGGAGATGGAGGAGGAGGAGGAGAAGAAGAAGTGGTGGAGGAGGAGGAGGAGGAGGAAGAGGAGGAGGAGGAGAAGAAGAAGAAGAAGAAGAAGAAGAAGAAGAAGAAGAAGAAGAAGAGAAGAGGAGGAGGAAGAAGAGGAGGAATAAGAAGAGGAGGTGGAGATGGAGATGGAGGAAGAAGAGGAAGAGGAGAGGAAGAGGAGGAAGAGGAGGAAAAAGAGAAGAGGAGGAGGAGGAGGAAGAAGAAGAGGAGACGGAGGCAGAGGAGGAAGAAGAAGAGAAGGAAGAGGAGAAAGAGGAAAAGAGGAGGAGGAGGAGATGGGAGGAGGAGGAGGAGAAGAGGAGAGGAAGAGGAGGAAGAGGAAGAGGAGGAGGAGGAGGAGGAGGAGAAGAAGAAGAAGGGAAGGGGAAGGGGAAGGGGAAGGGGAAGGAGAAGGAGAAGGAGAGAAGAAGGAGAAGGAGAAGGAGAAGAGAAGAAGAAGAAAAGAAGAAGAGAAGAAGAAGAAGAAGAAGAAGAAGAAGAAGAAGAAGAAGAAGAAGCCACTGTGTAGAATATGCAGCCAATGTCATCTCAATAAGTAGTGAGAACACCGGGTGCCACTTCTCAAGACAGAGGAGGAGTGAGAGAATGCAGACTTACTCCTTACCATCGACCCCTTGACGCCTATTGGCCCTGGTGATCCAACTGTGCCGCGGTCTCCCTAGGACGCAGAGAAGCAGAAGTCAACCACGCCATCCACAAAATAGGTGCCACATCCTTGCACAGAGAAGTCATAAGGTTGGGTGGCCCACCAGCCCTCTCTCAGCGCTGTTTGCTTGAAGCCAACTTGGCCAACTGTAACTTCTCAAACTTAGGATGTCAGTTACAAGGACAAGAACAATGGAAGTAAATTGTGCACGAAGTGTGTAAATATTAGGACCGAAACAATTGAGAAACGTTGCTTGCGTCTGCAAGCGTAGCAGCTCTCCGTAACTCTTAAAGCAATCAAATGTTTTCTAAGGATCTCAGGGTGGCCCAATTCAGCGGCCACAGGATCCAGCATGGGATATTGAAATTCTGATCAAAAACTAATCATTGTTCTGACCCAGGCTTCCCAAGAGCATGAAGCAGACTCCTTGTCCCAACAAAAATCCCTTTTTATTAAGTTACTGTGTATTCCTCTCATTCCCATCCAGCAAAGTCTTTCAAGGGAGAATTTACAGTCACAGACCTTATCTGGCTTGGAGAGCTGCCAGGCCGATATCTTCAAAACTTGGCAAGGAGTCAAGAACCAATTCAGCGAACTTATTGTCTCCTGCAAACTCCACTCCCCTTTCGCTCCTCTTTTATTCCCTCTGGGAGGGGCCATTCATCGTCCACCTGTGGCTTTACTCCTGAGTCGACCTTTGTTCTTTAGCTGGTCCCTTCATCTGGCAACTCTGCACATGTGCACACTGGGAACAGGCTCCAGCTGTTCTTCTGCGTCACTGATGTCTGACTCCGAAGGCAGCTGATAACTGTCATACGGCACTGGCCCCCTCTCTGCCTCCGATGCAGAGCCCTCGTCCGGGCCTTCCCCAGCCTCCAGGACTGGCCATGTTCTTCCCCAACCTCCTCACTGTCCGAATCTGCTGCCAGCTCCACTGGCGGGCCACAACATCACTTTGGAACTTTGCTGTAGCTCATAGTCCCCCAAAACCAGGGGTGAAATGCAACCAGTTCGCGAGAACCGGTAGTGATCAAAACTACCGGTTTGGGCAAACCGGTAGTAAAAAAAATGCTTTAAAAAGTTTTTTTAAAAAAAGGTTCCGACGATCACAGCACGATTGTCAGAACCTTTTTTTTTTTTTTTTTCTTTTTTAAAAGCATTTTTTTTACTATCTATTCGCCCGAACCGGTAGTAAAAAAAAATGCTGTAAAAAGTTAAAAAAAAATTGGCCACACCCACCCAGTCACATGACCCCACCACCACCAAGCCACACCCACCAAGCCATGCCCACAGAACTGGTAGCAAAAAAAAAATTGCATTTCACCACTCCCCAAAACCTTGGGGGCTCTTAGTAGAAGGTCTCCTCAGCTTAATGTTGCTTCTGCAACCACCTCACTACCCTACCAGTGGTGGGTTGCCCCCGGTTCACACCGGGGTTTTACAGTAGTAGTTTTACCACCACTACTACTAGTAGTAGTAACAGCAGTACTACTAGTAGTAGTGCTACTACTAGTAGTAGTTTTACAGTAGTAAAACCGGCAGGAGGCTCTGCCCACCGACCCCGACATCATCAGAACGCTTCTGCGCCCGGCCCCGTTGCAAACCAGTAGTAAAGGTAAGTAGAACCCACCCCTGTACCCTACGTACCTTCTCCCCAACACCGCCAGGTTCCCCGATTGGACCGATGAACCCCATCAGACCCTGGAAAGAGAGAGGAAAAAAAGGGGGCTGGATTTATTTGCTTTTTTAAAGCATCAGAGAAAGAGAAAAAGAGGGTTTTTTTTTTAATTAGGCTGAATTAGGCAGCATCTTCCGCAAGCTCCCAGAAGGTCTTGGTTTCTCACAGGCTGGGCCTCCCCAGCACAAACAGCAGCTGTTTCTCTGTTTAAAAAAAAAATACAGCCGCGGGCTTTTGAAGCTCGAGGCTTGACAAAAGACTCCAGCGCAGGAACAAATTACAGACAACCCCCATGACGTGAAGGTCAGAGAAAACGCTAACATTTAGGATTTCCCCTCCACGACTTTTTCCTCCGGTTGCCTCCCGACTTGCAACACGAAGGGTGCGGGGTAGAGAGAGAGAGACGCACAACTGATGAGTTCTGACACCGGACGGAGTAGGGGGAAAAAACGTCTTTGATTGAGGGCCGTGAAGACCAGACTCTGGTGTGATGATCAGGTCAAGAAGAAGGAGATCTGGAGGGCTGGAGATCCTGCAATTCAAGCCTAGCCATTGCCAAACATCTCTCTCTCAAAAAAAAGAGAGGAATAGAGGCAACGATGCCATGCAAGCAGGACTGCGGTAGACACAAGTCAGGATTTTCAATACCCCCTATCCCGAATTTTTAAGAAAAAAATATATCTACCTACCTACCTACCTGCCTGCCTGCTATCTTTTTATCCATCCATCTATCCATCTATCTATCTATCCATCCACCCACCTACCTACCTATCTTTCTGCCTGCCTGCCTGCTTTTCTATCTATCTATCATCTATCTATCAATCTATCTATCTCATTCATTCATTCATTCATTCACATTCATTCATTCAGCCTATTTATTCATTATGCCCTTCCTTAGAATAGCCTGCCTGCCTGCCTGCCTATCCATCCATCTATCCATCCATGCATCCTCCATCCATCCATCCATCCATCCATCCATCCATCCATCCATCCAAGCTATTTATTCATTATGCCCTTCCTTAGAATAGCCTGCCCGCCTGCCATCCATCTATCCATCCGTCCATCCATCCATCCATCAGCCAGCCAGCCACCATCCAGCCAGCCAGCCAGCCAGCCAGCCAGCCTATTTATTCATTATGCCCTTCCTTAGAATAGCCTGCCTGCCTGCCTGCCTATCTATCTATCTATCTATCTATCTATCTATCTATCTATCTATCTATCTCATTCTTTCATTCATTCATTCATTCATTCAGCCTATTTATTCATTATGCCCTTCCTTAGAATAGCCTGCCTGCCTGCCTGCCTATCTATCTATCTATCTATCTATCATCTATCTCATTCATTCATTCATTCATTCATTCAGCCTATTTATTCATTATGCCCTTCCTTAGAATAGCCTGCCTGCCTGCATATCTATCTGTCTGTCTGTCTGTCTGTCTGTCTGTCTGTCTGTCTGTCTGTCTGTCTATCTATCTATCTATCTCATTCATTCATTCATTCATTCATTCAGCCTATTTATTCATTATGCCCTTCCTTAGAATAGCAGAAAATCTTGATTGATGGTCAACCTCTATAAAATGAATATCACCTTGACCTCAATGGACCAAGGCCCTCTGATTATGGTAGTCCAGGAGTTTGCAAATTTTCTTCAGATCATGGAACCTGGTCGTTTAATAGCAAGGAAATTCTGGAATCCCCAATGGAGGGGGAAAGATTTAGTGATAATGTTTCTGAACTCCAACCCCAACTGAAATGTTTCACGGAACTCCATTTGGTTCTCATGGAACACTTCTTCAGAACTGATCTAGAACTGGAATGCAACTTTCCCTAAATATTTGGAAACTGCCTCTGGAGGCAGATGTTTTCCAAAACCTCCAGGATGGCTAAAAGCAAGCTGGCTGTTGCGATGGAGGAAGGGAGGAGTGGGATAGAAGAAGAGGAAGAGGAATTTTCCCCGATGGCTGGCACATTAGCGTTCTTTCGTTAATGACCTAATTGGCAACGAGATGGAAGTCTTCCATGGCTAGGCCAGAAATGAGCAGAGGAAAAATAAAGGAGCTTAAGATTCATCTGGACTGGGTCTCTGGCAAATGGCGGTGAAAAGGCCTATTGTATTTTCTTTCAATCCCACAGAGGCTCACGGTTTCCTGCTCCGAGTATGTCTGGAGTAGTGGGGGGGAAAGAAACAACCCACGACAAACTGGGTCGCCTCATCAGCTCAGATTCTCAACCTGGGATCCAACGGAGTGGAATTTCTCCCCCGGGGCTGTTTAGCTATGGCGAATCCGAAAGAGTGGAATTCATCTAATGAATAAGTGCTAAAGAAAGACAGACCTTCCTGCTTTCTCTACCGAAACGTGGGGGGGGGGCTGGGAGAGCGGGGGAAAGGGTCTCTGGTTGGAGGGAATTAAAAGACCTTCGGCTTCTCAATTTTCCTAAGGAAAAACGTGTGGGGTTTTCCTGATTGTTTCCTTGCCTCTGGGAAAAGAAGGCTATTGTGAAGGACATCTTCTCCAGATGTTGGTGCAAGACACAGAGAAATTACAATTGCCATTCCTTGTGGACATTACGGGCAAACGCCATGGCTTCTACCATCACCTGGGCCCGTATCCAAAAATGAGTTTTAAGAAACGTGTCCGCCATTCCAAGACATTTGATTGGCACATGTTTCCTCAGTAATTAACCTGGAGAATTTCTCCTCCTCCAGAATTAAAAAAAGACATGTCCTCTCAATGTTTTTGCCCACGAGGAGGGGATTTTGAGGGTCCCTGTGCATGCCTGGTTAGACCATCATCATACACCCAAAAAAAAAGCAGTCTATGAAAGAGCTACGATTGGCAAGGAAAGAGGTTTTCAGGAAAGATTATGGGTCTCTTAAACCAACAATTGAGGAGACCAAGATTGGTCGAGCCAAAGCCACCATTGCTGTCCCATGTGGTCGTTCAGGAATGGGATAAACACATGGAAGCTTTGAGGTTCCACCACATTGGTTGGTTTGATGATTTGGGATGTATTTCAAGGGAGGTGAGTGTTTGATTCTTTCTTATTCCCAAATTTTTCCAGAGTTTTTTCTGTCGAATCTCATCGGGCATTACATGGCACAGAAGTTGCCAGGACTATGTCGGAATGGGGAACAATGTGGAAACTGGACTGTGAAGCCCATCTGGCATCATTCAGGCATATTGTCTATGGACATTCTCAGTCCTCCAGGTCACGGTTGTCCCAAGGTGCTTTTTGCAAGAGTCAACTGGAGTTTTTCCTTGAAGATGTTCTGCTTCTCATTCAAGAAGCTTCTTTAGCTCTGAGAAGTTCAGTTCTGAGAAGAACTGAAGAAGCTTCTTGGATGAGAAGAGAAACGTCCTCAAGGGAAAACAAAGTCCAGTTGCCTTCCGAAGAACTGAAGAAGCTTCTTGGATGAGAAGCAAAGTGTCTTCAAGAAAATCAAGGAAGTCCAGTTGCCTCTTGAAAAAGCACCTTTGGGACAAGGTGGACTTGACCTGGAGGACCTGGAGGACTGAGAATCTCCATAGACAAAGGATGAGAAATCAACCAACCAACCAGCCTTGGAGGGAATAATAGCTTAGAACCATCAGACCTTGGGTGTTGAGCACAGCCAAAATTGCATCAGGAGAGGAAACCAGAGGCAAATTATTGTTGGTCCTGGCATAACAATAAACAGCTAAAGGAAATGACTCTGGAGATTCTCAGTCATCCAGGTCATGGTTGTCCCAAAGGTGCTTTTTCAAGAGGCAACTGGACATCCTTGGTTTTTTCCTTGAAGATGTTTTGCTTCTCATCCAAGAAGCTTCTTCAGTTCTTCTCAGAACTGAACTTCTCAGAGCTGAAGAAGCTTCTTGGATAAGAAGTGAAACATCTTCAAGGAAAAACAAAAAAAAATCCAGTTGCCTCCAGCGGTGCGTTTCCAATATTCTTACCACCAATTCGCTGCGCCCACGCGCCTGGCCTCAAAAACGTTCCTAAATAGGATGGCATAGACTCAGGGCGGGTTGGCGGGACCACCTGAGATCTCTGTTACCGGCTCACCCGAATCGGTACAAACCGGCTGAATACCACTGTTGTGGTCCGCCAGCAGCCTGCAGAGCTGGGAGAGGAGTCGGACAGCGATGAGGCTGAGGAAGAACATGGGCCAGTCCTGGAGGCTGGGGAAGGCCCGGATGACGACTCTGTGTCAGAGGCAGAGATGGGGCCAGGGCCATCGGGGAGTGATGTGCGGACTTCGGAGCCTCCAGAGGCTGACAGCAGAGAGGCAGAGGAACAGGAGGAGCCTGTTCCTTGTGCACGCATGCGCAGAGCTGCCAGAAGGCAAGAGCAGCTAAAGCAAAAAAGGACGACTCAGGAGTAAGGCCAAGAGATGATTGGCCCCTCCCATAAGGCTTAAAAGACCAGTAACGGCTCTTGGCCTCTTTGCCGGAAAACAACCGTTGAGAGATTTGCTTCGTGTTTGGATGTATTTCTTTCTTATCAGTGTCTTCTGTTCCTGAACTGTTGCCAAGAAAAGCCTTTGGCAGTTTGCCTAATTGGACCAAGGTTTGCGATAGGACTGAGGAATTTGTGTTGGGAGGAATTTGTTTTAATTTAATTGAACGACGCTGGGAATGAAGTAATTCTCAGCTGTTCGAATAAAGTTTGTTTTATTCACAGGCTGATTTTCCTACTACTTACTGATGCAGGATTATGAAAATAATCATAATGCTTTCTAATGTGGCCATCTTCTCATCTCTGCTTCTATGTAGCTTAAACATTGGCCATTCAAGCATATAAACATCTGCAAAATCAAGAGCCTTGATAGTACAGGGGTTTAGTGCACCCTGTTATTAACACAGCTGCCTGCAATTTCTGCTGGTTCGAATCTCTCCAAGGCTCAAGGTTGACTCAGCCTTCCATCCTTTCTAAGGTAGGTGAAATGAGGACCCAGTTTGTGGGGGCAATAAGCTGACTTTGTATAAATATACAAAAGAATGAAGGCTATTGCTTAGCACATTGTAAGCCGCCCTGAGTCTCCGGAGAAGGGCGGCATATAAATCAAATAAAAAAAAAATAGGATTCTCAGCTCTTCTAACAAAGGGGGGTGGGACATCAAATCCAGAAAGAGAGATGCCAGCAGCAGTCAAAGTTATCTCGGATAAAGGAAGCTCTCCTGCTGGCAGGGGTCACCAGGGACAAAAGTCAACCATGCAAAAGAAGGACAGAAGTGATGTGGGGTTACCTCGTCGCCAATTTTTCCCACTCGTCCTCGGTCTCCTGCTTCACCCTACAACCAAGCAGAGAAGTCAGACAATCAGTCACAGTTTTGCAAGGTGCATCCTCAACACCTTAATCTGCCTTCCAAAAGATTTTTAAAAAAAACAAAAACCAACAACAACCCATTCTACAGATAGAAAGACCGGGATGGCGAAATCTTAAATTGTCCCAACTTCTAATTGGCCCCACACTTCATTTCAAGTCAAAGTCATCGTTCCCAAGACATGATTTCTCATAATACAGTAGAGGTGTGGAGAACCAAAAGACTCTTGATGTTTTGAATACAAAGCCCATCGGGAGCATCTTCCCTGGAATTTATGGGAGCTGTGGTTCAATACATCTGGGGAACATCAAGTGGTCTGTTTCATTAATCTTCCCACTCCCCCCTTTCGTTTCTCTTCTTTGTCTTCCTTGGTTTCTCCCACATGGTCTTCTTCAAACGTTGGGACTACACCACCCAGCAGAACCAATTAAGGGAGGCCATTGTATGGATGATGGGAGTTGTAATCCAAGACAACTGGAGAGGACTGGCTTGGGGAAGACTCTAAGTAAAGAAATAGGACAGAGAGCAAACCATACACAAACGATTCGAGCTCGTTTCAAGCTCGTTAATTAACGGATTAATCTCAGATCACGTCCCAACAAAGAGTGGGTAGCAGAACGAATAGGAATTGTAGCTGTTCATTTATCTTCAGCTGTGGAAAACATCTTCCCACGGTGGTGGGTGATGGTTTTTTTTTTTTCTTCTTCTTCTCATGGTTACATCTCCTCCATCATCCAGTGAAAAATTGCTGAATTGTTTGCACAAATGTTGAATTGAAACATCGCTGAATCGTTCCACATCTGTTCAATTGAAAAACCGCTGAATCGTTTCCCACAATTTGCAGAATTGAAAAAAAAAAAACCTGTTGAATTGTTCCACGATATTGGAACAATAAAATGAAGGACTAGAAGAGACAGGATAGCAGTCTTCCAGTATTTGAGGGGCTGCCACAAGGAAGAGGGGAGTCAACCTATTCTCCAAAGCACCAGAAGGCAAGACAAGAAGCAACGGTTGGAAATTCATCAAGGAGAGAAGCAACCTGGAATTAAGGAGAAACTTCCTAACAGTGGGGACAATTAACCAGTGGAAGGGATTGCCTTCAGAAGTTGTAGGTGCTTCATCACTGGAGGAATTTAATCTAAGGGGCCACCACAAAGAAGAAAGGGTCAACCTGTTCTCCAAACCACCTGAAGGCAGGACAAGAAGCAATGGATGGAAACTAATCAAGGAGAGAACCAACCTAGAACTAATTTCCTGACAGTGAGAACAATTAACCAGTGGAACAACTTGCCTCCAGAAGTTGTGGATGCTCCATCACTGGAGGCTTTCAAGCAGAGATTGGACAGCCACTTGACAGGGATGGTACTATAGGGTCTCCTGCTTGAGCAGGGGGTTGGACTAGAAGACCTCCAAGGTCCCTTCCAATTCTGTTAATTCTGTTAATTGAAAAACCCTTTTTTCCTGATCTCAGATTAGGCTGGATTGCAAATGATACTAAAGGCATTCTTTGAATGAGCGTAATTTGCAGCATAAGATTCAGGTTAGATTCAGGCGTGCGCCAAAGTAGACATCTTTGTAGCGTAATGTCGGAAACTGGAGAAACGTTTTCAGGAGGAAAACCTATAAGAGAATAGAATAGAGTAGAGTAGAGTAGAGTAGAGTAGAGTAGAGTAGAGTAGAGTAAATAGAATAGAATAGAATAGAATAGAATAGAATAGAATAGAATAGAATAGAATAGAAAAATATGGAATGGAATAGAATATAGAATAGAATAGAGTAGAGTAGAGTAGAGTAGAGTAGAGTAGAGTAGAGTAGAGTAGAGTAGAGTAGAGTAGAGTAGAGTAGAGTAGAGTAGAACAGAACAGAACAGAACAGGATAGAAAATATGGAATGGAATGGAACATAGAGTAGAGTAGAGTAGAGTAGAGTAGAGTAGAGTAGAGTAGAGTAGAGTAGAGTAATAGAATAGAATAGAATAGAATAGAATAGAATAGAATAGAATAGAATAGAATAGAATAGAATAGAATAGAAAATATGGAATGGAATGGAATATAGAATAGAATAGAATAGAATAGAGAATAGAATAGAATAGAATAGAATAGAATAGAATAGAATAGAATAGAATAGAATAGAATAGAATTCTTTATTGGCCAAGTGTGATTGGACACACAAGGAATTTGTCTTGGTGCACGCACTCTCGGAGTACATAAAAGATACATTTGTCAAGAATCATAAAATACAACACTTAATGATAATCATAGGGAAACAGTGACTATAAGGGAGTTTTGGCTAACAACAAGCATCCCAAAAGCAAAACGGAGGAATATTTTTCGGGGGTCTGTATGTGTGTGTGTGTGAAGTCTGGGTCAGGAGCAGCTGCCTTCTCTCAGACGCCGCATTGCAAAACTCACTCTGCAAACATTTGAGATGTCTCAGCTTCAAAAGTGCATTAAAAAGAAATTAAAAAGCTTTTGAAAGAATGGCCAGCTGGAGGGAGAGGAGAAACCTATTCGGTTTTAGGGATTCTGCAAGACCATGAGGCCAAAAAAAGAAGCCACAGGAAGGGAATGAAAGCGGCGATTTCAGATTCAATTCACGCATGCACACAAAAGAACTCTGTTAAAATGTGGGATTTTTTTTTAAAAAAAAAACATTGTGTGTTTGGAGGCGGGAGGCGGGAGGACTCCAGCGATTTTTAGCAGCTTTTTCAATTGCATAATGTTTTTTTTTCTTTCTTTCTTTCTTTCTTTCTCTCCCTCTCTCTCCCCCCGCCCTCCTGTCCTCCATCAGACAATTAACCAATTTTCGAAAGAAAAGAACAAGCAAGGGGGAACTGGCTAATCATAAAAATTCGCTGTGGTTTGCAAAAATATGTGCAGGGTTCTCTCCATCCCAGAAACCACGGTGAGTCGGAATTTCCAGAGCCAAAAGGAGGAAAAAGGAGTTTTCATGAAAGAAAGGGAGTGGGAAGGCCAGGAGTGGGTGAAAGGCAACCTTCGAGATTTACAGCTTGGAAAACCCCAAAGGGTGAGATCTTTTTTGGCAACAGATTTGAGTCTCCTATGGTGATGCCCTCCTTACCTTTAAACCTTCTGGGCCTGGTTTGCCAGGAAACCCCTTCTGCCCAGGAGGACCCTAAAAAGAGACAAGTTGCAGGTAAGACATCAAAGAAAACCGTCATCCAGAGCAGGAAGCTCTTGGCCCCCAGGTTCAGCTTGAAGAAGGGAGGTTGAGAGGGGGCTGCGAGGGGAGAACTGGCCAAAAGTCACGACTGAGAGCAATGTGGCCCATAATAGGCAACCCTCCCCTCTAGAAGCACCACCTGTGTTCTTACCTCTTCCCCTGGGGGGCCATAGGGACCCGGTGGTCCTTCATCGCCCTAGAAGGGAGGGAGGGAGGGAAGAGAAGGGGAAGGAAGGAAGGTTGGAAGGAAGGGAGGAAGGAAGGAAGGAAGGAGGAAGGAAGGAAGGAAGGAAGGAGAGGGAGGGAGGGAGGGAGAAAAGAGAAGGTGAAGGAAGGATGGAAGGAAGGAAGGAAGGAAGGAAGGAGAAAGGAAGGAAGGAAGGATTGAAGGAAGGAAGGAAGGAAGGAGAGGGAGGGAGGGAGGGAGGGAGGAAAGAGAAGGTGAAGGAAGGAAGGATTAAAGGAAGGAAGGAAGGAAGGAAGGAAGGAAGGAAGGAAGGAAGGAGAAAGGAAGGAAGAAAGGAGAGGGAGGGAGGGAGGGAGGAAAGAGAAGGTGAAGGAAGGAAGGATTAAAGGAAGAAATGAAGGAAGGAGAGGGAGGGAGGAAAGAGAAGGGGAAGGAAGGAAAGAAGGGAGGGAGGGAAGAAAAGGGGAAGGAAGGATTGAAGGAAGGAAGGAGAGGGAGGAGAGAGAGGGAGGAAAGAGAAGGTGAAGGAAGGAAGGACAGGGAGGGAGGGAGGGAAGAAGGAAAGAAAGCAGGAAAGAAGGAAAGAAGGAGGGAGAAGGGAAAGGAAGGGATGAAGGAAGGAGAGGGAGAGAGGGAGAGAGGGAGGAAGGATAGATGGAAGGAAGGAGTGAAAGAAGGAGAAATGGATAGATGGAAGGAAAGAGGGAAGGGAAAGAGAGATGGATGGAAGGAAGGAAGGAAGAAAGAAAGAAAGAAAGAAAGAAAGAAAGAAAGAAAGAAAGAAAGAAAGAAAGAAAAACACATTTAATACAAAGTTCTTCCTCAGTCAGGAGAAAGCACCCCAGCCCCATCCCTAAAACCATCTAAATCCATCCATAGACAGACTTAATCTGCAAGGAAGTCCAACCATCTTTGGGGAAATCAATCTCTAAAATCCCGCAATGTTTTTTTTTTTTTAAGGAAAAACAGATGCACATCGTCCAGGGAGCAGCCTCTCACCTCTTGGCCAGGCATTCCTCTGGGACCAGGCAAACCCCTCGCGCCAGGCTTTCCCTGCAAAAGTTGGGGGGAGAAGAAGGAGAAAAGGCTCAGCCAAAGAGAGAGGCAGACAGACCCCAGTGGGCCTACAAAAAAACACGGAGCAAACGCACATTGCCAACATGCGCTGCTGTGGGACGGCATCCAATGTCAATTCTGTTGCCGAAAGGAGTGTGTGTGGGGGGGGAGGAGAGGGGAAGGGAAAACAACAACCGAAAAAAGAAACAGGGAAAGAAACTCCCATTCTTGGAGCCTTTACAATCCAAACGAAATCTGAAAGCCGGGCCAGAACGCTCTCCGGAGATCTCCGGGGTTCTCTCTGTCCCTCTCTTTGCAGTTCCCTTTACCTCTTTCCTTTGCAAATGGCCAAACCAACCCAAAGCCGTTCCATTTGCAGCACCCCTCACCTTAATACCTTCGGGGCCGTTTTCTCCCGGAGGGCCGATGCTTCCTGGGAAGCCCTGGAGAACATCAAACGGAGAGGACAATAAGCGAGAAGGCAGGAGTCCGGCGTCATCTCTTTGGAGAGAGAGAGAGAGAAAGGGGGCCTGCAAAGTTTCAGGGGCCCACTGAACGTCTAAATTGGACGGTTACTTTACGTTGGTCAAAGGACCAAGGTTTAATTAGCACCATATTCAACTCTCGGAGCCGAATCTGAGCTGGCTCCTCGCGTAAGGCATAACCTGTTTCCAACATCTTGCTCAAGCAGATTTTAAAATTGCTGATTCAACTGTCAAAGGGGGAATGCAGATGTGGAGAGTTTAACTCAGTTAACTCCTGTTCCTCGAGTCTCATCTTCCACTGTGCCCTAACAATGGGGGGAAGTGACCAGTCTGGGACTACAAGAACCATTGGCACAACTCAGGTGATCCTGAGGACACAGATAAAACCTCCAAGTGCTTCAACGACCCTCCAAAAGGATGCAAATGTCCAGCTGTCTGCAAGGAATATCAATCCTTCCATTCCCCACTATCCTGTCAGAGTTGAAGAAGCTTCTTGGATGAGAAGCAAAATGTCTTCAAAAGGGAAAAAACAAGAAAGTCCAGTTGCCTCTTGAAAAAAGCACCTTTGGGACAACCATGACCTGGATGACTGAGAATCCCTGGGAAAACCCCATTCAGAGCTACGGAAGTCCTACATCCAACTTTGAAAAAGACTATCTTCTGTCTCAGGAGCTGTCCAGCTCTAGGTCAACCAAATGGCCTAGAAAGTAGAGCCCTGTTGAGCCCTGGCAGAGCGAGACATAAGGGCTGCCCGATTGCTGCGGCAGTTCCACCGACGGTATCCCAACAAACCAGGTGGGGGGAGAGATGCATGTCATAGTGCCTTATCTAATGCCTCTATCTCCTGTCTTCCAGGAAGACCCCTAGTAGAGGTGAGCTGCCAGTCGAGCCCCAGCTCAGGATTCGCCCTACTTGTGGGGGGATGCAGCGGGAGCGATGAGCGAGGAGGCGGCTCAGTGGTGGCGGCCCCACATCAGACGACACCTAATGGCTGCGGCGCCACCACTGAACCTTCACCACCCAGCTGATTGGTCTTGGTGGCCTTCCGCCACGTGCCACCTGCTGGGCCATTCCAGAAGGCGAGGAGGACTTTGCCGCTGGATGGGTGTCGGCCCTGGCGGATACCGCGGTGGCCAGACATACGCTGCCCCAATACCAAGAGGTCCCGGATAGTGGTTAGCGGTGGGCGTGGGAAGCCGGATGGACAGGTGGGGCCCAAAGACTTGAAAAGGCACTGGGAGGCGGACGCTCCCAGCGCCGACTTCACAAGGAACCAGTTACCTACTTGCCGTGTTCTGAGGCTCCAGCCTGTTTATGGGGATTAAAGCAGAGTTTTGCCGTGGTTGAGTACATTTCCTATCTCCCTTTGTTCCTATCAGGTCTGGCCTAGACTGGCTGAGGCATGCTGTCGTCTCCTCTGCTTTCTTTGCTACTTACGGTAGATAAGATCTTTTGAGATTCTTAGTCTCAGTAGGTAACGTGAAGAAGTCCCAGTTCTTTGGAGGAGTCTACAGTGCCTTTCTGCCCTGGGAAAGGCATTATCAGGGGTGGACTGATGGGGTTTGGGCGAACCTCTAGCTAAGATTCTGTGCAGTTCGGAGAACCCCCAAATCCCACTCCTGGCTGGCCCTTCCCACTCCGTCCCAGGAGTCCCCACATGGCCTGTTTGGATGCAGGTAAGTGCAGGGAATGTGTGGAGGCTCAGGGAGGGCAAAAGACAGGTCTACCGGAAGTTCGGGAAGGCCGGAAATGGCCCCGTTTCTGGCCTCCAGAGGGACTCTGGAGCCTGGGGAGGCCATTTTTGCCCTCCCAGAGGCTCAAGGAAAGTCTCTGGAGCCCAGGGATGGCAAAAACACCCCCTCCCTCCACCATGGTGCAGGAGGCCAACTAGCCACACCCACCATGGCCACGCCCGCCCAGCAACCAGGCAAAGAACCCCTTGCTCAAATTTTTGAAGCCCACCCCACCGGACATTATGGACTTCTTCTCTGAAAGGAGAGAAGAAGGAAAGATAAGAAGAAGACAACCAAAAGTAAGGTTGATGAAGTCAATTCTTTTAGCACTGTTGGAAGATCTGAAGGACCACTTTGGGGGCAGATGCTCCCAGAGAAGCAGAAACAGAGATCTGGAAAAGCAAAAGTGGCACCCAGATACCGACTTTTCATCGCTTTGGCATTGTACTTCGGTTTCACTGCGATGCGAACCGACGGGGAAGGGAAAGCTAAAGGGGAAAAACTGGGAAAAGATCATTGCAAGGGAAATGAAGTGCTGTGGATTACAATTTGTCTTGGCCCTCCAGCCGAGATTCTTCATGGGGTCAGTAAATGTTGCGCCGTAGCCCAGTGTGTGGTTCTCCACGAATTCTGAGGCGGCCGCTTCCCCGCCTTTTTTCCCAGGGTTATAAATCAGGACTCAGCAAGCCTGACAGAAGGGAGAAGCAGGCTTGGCATGGAGGAAGGGAATGGTGACGACATGCTGCTAAGTAGACCACATGACTTTGGAACGTCTACCCATATATATATATATATATATTTCCGCCCACAATCCATTCAGCTCAAGAAACAAAGGGAGGTGGAAAGAAAGCGAATTAAGATTAAAATATGAACTAATTAGATTGGGGGCAGTGGCGAAATCGAAAATTTGTTACTACCAGTTCTGTGGGCGTGGCTTGGTGGTGGTGGGGGTAATGTGACTGGGTGGGCATGGCCAATTTTTTTTTTAAACTTTTAAAACCATTTTTTTCTACAACCTCTTCAGCAAAGAGGTTGTAAAAAATGCTTTCAAAAGGCTCTGACAATTCCAGCTGAGTTGCCTGATCAGCAGAGTCTTTTTTTCTTTTAAATGCCTCTGATGATCCCAGCCTGATCGTCAGAGGCTATTTTTCTTTTAAATGCCTCTGACGATCCAAGCTGAGTTGCCTAATCGGCAGAGGCTTTTTTTCTTTTAAATGCCTCTGACGATCCAAGCTGAGTTGCCTGATGGCAGAGGCTTTTTTTCTTTTAAATGCCTCTGACGATCCAAGCTGAGTTGCCTAATCGGCAGAGGCTTTTTTTCTTTTAAATGCCTCTGACGATCCCAGCCTGATCGTCAGAGGCTATTTTTCTTTTAAATGCCTCTGACGATCCAAGCTGAGTTGCCTAATCGGCAGAGGCTTTTTTTCTTTTAAATGCCTCTGACAATCCAAGCTGAGTTGCCTGATAGGCAGAGTGTTTTTTTCTTTTAAATGCCTCTGACGATCCCAGCCTGATCGTCAGAGGCTATTTTTCTTTTAAATGCCTCTGACGATCCAAGCTGAGTTGCCTAATCGGCAGAGGCTTTTTTTTCTTTTAATGCCTCTGACGATCCAAGCTGAGTTGCCTGATCGGCAGAGTCTTTTTTTCTTTTAAATGCCTCTGACGATCCAAGCTGAGTTGCCTGATCGGCAGAGTTTTTTTTTCTTTAAATGCCTCTGACGATCCAAGCTGACTTGCCTGATCATCAGAGGCTATTTTAAAAGCCTTTGACGATCCCAGCTGAGTTGCCTGATCGTCAGAGGCTTTTTTTTTCTTTTAAATGCCTTTGACGATCCCAGCTGAGCTGAGCGACCATCAGAGGCTTTTTTTAAAAAAGCATTTTTTCAGCCAAAGAGGTTGTAGAAAAAATGCTTTTAAAAGTAAAAAAAAAAAAGCCTCTGATGATTGTGCAGCTCAGCTGGGCAATGTGGTGGGGAGGGGCAGAGATTTTTGCTACCGGTTCTCCGAACCACCCGCCTCCATCGCTACCAGATTGGGCGATCCGGTCCGAACTGGGAGCATTTCACCCCTGATTGGGGGCAATTAGAAATGATTAGGGTGTGAATTATAAATATATATTGTTAACAATTAAAAATATAAGAAGAATTCTGAGAAAGATATTTAATAAATGAAAGAAAGGTCGGGGTTGCTTGGACACCATAGTGAAAATATTAAATTGAAAATCTATACAGCAATAGAGAGAGATGGAAGAAGAAATAGAGAGATGGGAGAGAAGAGAGGAGAGAGAGGGAGAGAGAGAGAGGAGAGGAGGAGAGGAGAGGAAGGAAGGGACGGGAAATCAGAGTAGGAGAAAGTGTTAGTCAGGGAGGAAGAAAGGAAGGGGAAAGTAAGGTAGCAGGAGAAGGAGAAGAGGGAAAGAAAGTAAGAAGGAAGGAAGAGAGGGGAGAGGAGGAGACTGAGAAGAAAGATTGCTGTATAACAAAAAAGAGGAAATGGAAAAAAGGCAACCCGAACACATATATGAATATATGAAGATAAAGAAGAAATTGTTAAAAAATAAAAGAGAACAAATGTGAACAAACAGGAAAATTAGAATTTAGAATTTGAGAGCGAATGAAGATATTGTTTATATAAATAAATATAGAAATATTGAGATATGAATTAAAGAAAAAATAGGGGGGAAAAGGAAGATTTTTGGCAAAAATTGTAATTGAGTAAAATGTATTTGAACTTGAAAAATTGTATAAGATAAGAAATGGCCAATATTCTGTTCAAAAAAAGATGTGGGTTAATGTGAGGGGGAAAAAATCATATAAAACTTGATTCAAAAAAAAAGAAAGAAAGAAAAGAAACAAAGGGAGACACAGTCCAGTCCAAGATTAACTTGCCTTGAAGTTGCCTTCAGATGTTGTGGGAGCTTCATCCCTGGAGGCTTTCAAGAAGAGACTGGACTGCCATCTGTCAGAAATGATGTGGGGTCTCCTGCTTGGGTGGGGGGTGGGGGGGGGTGGACTAGATGACCTACAATACCCCTTCCAACTCTGTTACTCTGTTAAACCACAGGACTGCTCCTTATCTCTTAAAGTTTATCACTATTTAGCCAACAAAATAGAAAACTCCCAGGTTAATGGAATGATCCCCAGAGGGGAAAAAACCAAACAAATGGAGAGGTGGGGGGGTGTTATCAGAAAAAAGAGGAATGGTGGGTTTTGTTTTTTTAAACTAGCTTTTTTATTTAACTTCATCCCAATCTTTCACAGTTATTAGACAGAATAAGCAGAAACGAAGCGAAACACTAAAAACGGCATGCCAAAAGTTATCGTTCATTCACTGAGGCTCTTTCCAGGATCTCATCACGAGTTCTTCAAACTCTTATTTTGACTAGAAAGCAAATTATGTTTTGTTTTTTTTTAAATATTTTTTATTATTATTATTTTTTATGCATGACTGATGGAGTCCAACCAATTCTTTCTCCTATTCTTCTCTCTCACCTTTCTTGCCAAGTTTATAGGATGTTACTCTAACCGTCGTTGACAGGGTCCAAGTGTTTAAATAGACCTGGCTTCCTTCGGATGGAATTCGGGACTCGCAACACGTTATTCTTGGAAAGAGCTCTCTGTTGAGTTGGATCGTTTGACCATCTATCTCAGATATTGTTAATTCTCTGTTGGGTTTTTTCCCAACCCCTGCTCGGAGGTGCTGCCAGCAATTGACCTACACTGGATTTCAGGACATTTTAGGTATTTTTACAAGTGAAGAAGTTAGCCGTGACGCAACCCTACGAAGCCCTCTCGGGAAAAGTCACCGCTGGGTCGTGAATTGGCTGGATGGATCTACTGCAATAAGCCACGCTTTTCGTCATATTTTGCTGAAAAAGCCAGAGCTGGCTGGATTAGCATGAGTTGCTAAGTTGCCAAAGTGAAGGAATTGTACGCAATTAGCATGATGGGTTAAAGGCCAATCTGGGAAGAGTTCCAACCGACCCGTAATTTATTTCTACCTTGGTTTATCTGGACCCAGACATGCATTCGTGGTACTGAGTCTCTGCTTCGAAGAGTGGCGAGGGAAGGAGTTCCTGAAAAAGTTTGCTCAGCGAACCAAAATGGACTCTACGGGTAACTTAAAGAGTTCTAGAAAGATAGATAGATAGATAGTAGATAGATAGATAGATAGATAGATAGATAAGATAGATGATAGATGATGATAGATAGATAGATAGATAGATAGATAGATAGTAGATAGATAGATAGATAGATAGATGATAGATAGATAGATAGATGATAGATAGATAGATAGATAGACAGACAGAGAGAGACAGGGATGGATGGATAGATAGATAATAGATTGATGATAGATAGATGGATAGATAGATAGATAGATAGATAGATAGATAGATAGACAGACAGACAGAGAGAGACAGGGATGGATGGATAGATAGATAGATAGATAGATAGATAGATAGATAGATAGATAGATAGATAGATAGATGATAGATAGATAATGGATTGATAATAGATAGATAGATGATAGATAGATTATATAAATAGATAGATGATAGATAGATAGATAGATGATAGAAAGATAGATAGATGATAGATGATATAGATATAGATAGATGATAGATAGACGATAAATAGATAGATAGATGATAGATAGATAGATGATAGATAGATGATAGATAGATAGATAGATGATAGATAGATAGATGATAAATAGATAGATAGATAGATGGATGGATGGATGGATGGATATGGATGGATAGATAGATAGATAGATAGATAGATAGATAGATAATGGATTGATAATGATAGATAGATGATAGATAGATTATAAATAGATAGATGATAGATAGATAGATAGATGATAGAAAGATAGATAGATGATAGATGATATAGGATATAGATAGATGATAGATAGACGATAAATAGATAGATAGATGATAGATAGATAGATGATAGATAGATGATAAATAGATAGATGATAGATAGATAGATGATAAATAGATAGATAGATAGATAGATAGATAGATAGATGATAGATTGATGATAGATAGATAGATAGATAGATAGATAGATAGATAGAGATAGATGATAGATAGATAGATAGATGATAGATAGATAGATAGATAGATAGATAGATAGATAGATAGATAGATAGACAGACAGAGAGAGACAGGGATGGATGGATAGATAGATAATAGATTGATGATAGATAGATGGATAGATAGATAGATAGATAGATAGATAGATAGATAGATAGACAGACAGACAGACAGAGAGAGACAGGGATGGATGGATAGATAGATAGATAGATAGATAGATAGATAGATAGATAGATAGATAGATGATAGATAGATAATGGATTGATAATAGATAGATAGATGATAGATAGATTATAAATAGATAGATGATAGATAGATAGATAGATGATAGAAAGATAGATAGATGATAGATGATATAGATATAGATAGATGATAGATAGACGATAAATAGATAGATAGATGATAGATAGATAGATGATAGATAGATGATAGATAGATAGATAGATGATAGATAGATAGATGATAAATAGATAGATAGATAGATGGATGGATGGATGATGATGGATGGATGGATAGATAGATAGATAGATAGATAGATAGATAGATAGATAGATAGATAATGGATTGATAATAGATAGATAGATGATAGATAGATTATAAATAGATAGATGATAGATAGATAGATAGATGATAGAAAGATAGATAGATGATAGATGATATAGATATAGATAGATGATAGATAGACGATAAATAGATAGATAGATGATAGATAGATAGATGATAGATAGATGATAAATAGATAGATGATAGATAGATAGATGATAAATAGATAGATAGATAGATAGATAGATAGATAGATAGATAGATTTCTCTTCTAAGAGGTAAAGCAGAAATATTTCACGTTTGAGAGGATGAAGAAGAATGGGGTGTAAAGATTTCAAAACACCCTAATTTCAGCACCCTTCAAGAGGCTCCTTTTCAATGGCATATTCAGAATTAAGAATATCTCAGCCTAAAAAAAAAAAAATTGCGCATCTCAATGCAGATCCTTAAAAGAAGAAGGCAAATTGGAGACAGAACCTACCTCTGGGCCAGGTGGACCTGGAATTCCAGCTGGACCTTTTTCACCAACTCTTCCCTGAAGGAAACAAACACATGAGGTGATCATTGAGGGTGGCCTAATCTAGCTAGAGAGGAATATAGAAGATAACATCTCCAGATATTGCTAAGCTCCTAGTTTTTCCATTGGCCATGTTGGTTCATTCGTTGATTCATTCGTTGATTCATTCGTTGATTCATTCATTGATTCATTCGTTGATTCATTCGTTGACTCATTCATTGATCCATTGATTGATTGATCATTCATTCATTCATTCATCTGATTTCCATTCTATATCTTCTCCAGAGACCAAAGCAACCAACACACCACTCTCTATTCAGTTTTACCATAACATCCCGTGGGATTAACCCAATATCACCATAGGAGCACCCATGAGGCTCAGTGGACTTGAACATGGGCTATCCTACTCCTGGTCTACCATCTTAACTGCTATTTCAAGAACATCCAAAGTCTTTTTGTTTTCCACAAAACAATTATGGATATCAGCCAGAATTTATTTCCATTTTCCCCCCAGATATGTTGCAACGTGTTTGCTAACAAACCTGAATGCACTTATACCCTCTTTTTCCCCATGGATTTGACCACGTTCTCCAATTCTTCTCTCTTGAAACTCTGTGGCCCAATGGGGAATTTGGAGTCAGTTCAACCCATGTGGTCCTTCAAATGTTCTATGAAAGATTTTCATGGAGATTCAAGAGGACAACCGATTTTTAAAGATGTCCTGCTTCTAGGGTTGAATTACAACTTCCCTCACCAATGGCCGTAATGATGGTTGATAGGAATTGCATCCAAGTAAGACCTGAAGGACCACAATGATGTTCTCCTCGCTCTAACCAATACAACTAATTTCATGCAGGGAACTGAAGCAATTACTTACCATTGGGCCTGGTTTTCCTCGTAAACCTGGTATCCCGGGCAATCCATGGTTACCCTGAAACAGGGAGCAGAAATCTTCAGAATGGATAAAGCTACCTAAGAAAGAGCTAGTCCAAGAAAATTAACTTGTTCCGATCTACTCTTAACAAGCATGGGATTATCTAGGGATTATCTAGTCAAGCATCACTTCCATGAAGTTATGTGCTCAGCAAAATTGGCACTCAGCAGCACAACAGTACGAATTCTGTCTGGTAGAAGATTCTGGAAAAGATATCTTTCGACCCTGGAGAATTTACTAGCACATGCAATAGTTTCAAAATAAATAGAATTCGTTAATGAAGGGAAGGCAAAAGGACAACAGCAATTAAATCTATTAAGGGGACACTTCTCCTATTATTAAGATGTTAGATGGTATTATTTGAGAAAATTGATGGCTATAATAATTGGGATATTGTTTAAATACTTATTATAAATACAAATTATTACAATTGTAATAATTTGAACATTTTCTACTCAAGCAAAAAAGGAAAGAAAATTGAAACAATATATGATTATGATTTACAAACCACAATTACTTAATTGGTGTTTAAATAAATGTATGGTTAAATAGATAGAATTTAGGGAAATAATTGGGAAATGGTATTATGTAGCATTATTTGAATTAAGAACTATGTTTAAATGATCAATTGCTATATTTTTAAGATTAGAGATAAGATTT